GGGTGGGAGGGGGAGCACCTGGGGCGGCGGCGCGGCCGAGGCGGCGGTCTCTTCCCCCGCAGCGCCCTCTGCTGGCCCCACGCTGGCAGCGGCGAAGGGCCCTCTCGGGCCCGCGCAAAAGCCCTCCTTACTAAACAAAATGGACGTGATCTCCTCTTCTAGGCTCTAGACGAGTTAGAAAAGGGAAAGGAAAGAATTAAACAGTGACGGACGGAGCGACAGCGACCTACAAAGGAAAGGTTTGAAAAGAGACAGGCGACAGAAAAGGATTCGGCTGGGAGATGCTGTAGGAGCACAGGGGGCTTGGGCTCCCTGTAAGGTGAAATGAGGACAAACAGGACAAAACATTGCTGTCACCACAACGCACATCACTCCACCATGCATATCACACGATCACTATTAAAAATATGAACATTTCCATGGATTTCTCACACAGAACAGTTTACTTAGGCAGTAATTCTGTTGTTAGTATTGGGGTTTTTCATTTTTAAAAATCCATTTTTAACACCTTCTAACGGGCTCAGAGCTTCAGAGTAGTCAAATACATTTGCTTTGAACAGTACATACCCACAAAGCTGAAATGAGGCTTTCTTTATAATACATTATAGATATGTTTTTCAAATGCTTAAATAACCTAAGCAAACTTCCTTCTATTAAGGAATCTGTTTTCAAAAAGCATTTCCCATTCTACTGGGAAAACTTGTTTTATGAAAACTTACGTAAAAAGAGGACTCTGCTTTAAAGCATAGATTACATTCATAGTCCAGTCTAGTTTCTGTAGAATCTATAAATCTGTATGGTAAAGCAAATTTTTTAAATTTATGTGGGTACAAGGCACTGAAGACGCTAAAGTTCTTTATTCCAGTTTTCCTTCCATAAGCTCTGGTGTTAACTTAAAAGTACAAACAGAGAAAATAAAAAGCCAGTAAAGTAACAAATACCTAACATGGACATAACACACATTTTGACAACATTCAGTAAGATACATTTCTGCCTTAGAAAATGGTGCTACAGAGAATCAGGGCAGAAGCAGAGGCCAGAAGAAAGCCATGGTGCCATGCAGACAACTGCAGTCTGTGTGTACTCTGCGTGAGCTGAACTGACAGAAGTTACGCCATGCTACTGTGCATATACTACAACACACACATGGCATGCAGAAAAACAGAGAAGGAAAATAAAAAGAACCCCTATATTTTTTTCTCTACAATAAAATTTGAAGTATATTTCAAAGGTGGCTAAGAAAATTTAATGTGAATGAAAGTTACTAGATCTGCTCTCATGCAACATTCAATGTTCATCAGGGCAATGCGTTCCTCACCACCCATCTTCTTGCATTTTACATCTTCAGTTTTGTAGGTCTTCTAATTTATTAAAAGGAAAACCCCAATAGCACAATTTGCTTGATAACATCACCCCTGTTCCCTAGTGAGGCATTTAGTAAAAAATAATTAATGTCTAGATAGGATTGGCACTCTTCATCAAATTACTGTAGTTACAATAATGTATCAGCCTGAGAAGATGTTTAAATTCCTGGCATATTCCTTCTGGTACATAGCCATATACACTAACATGAAATACTGTTTCCAAGCAGCATGGGGGGGTGGGCAATTGATTAGGAAAAAAAAATTCACATATTTATGACATACATATCAATGTGTCAGTTTCTGTTATAATTAAGTCACAGATGCTGTGCATTTGTGGGAGTATGGTGATACAGAAGTATAGTGGCACAAATGAGATGTAACCCAAATAACATTTCTCATACACAGAAAATTACTTATATGCAAGTATTTTCACTGGAGCAAAAGAAGGAAGAAAAGAAAGAATATTAGCAGCATCCCTGCTTTATTCTCATCTATTGTCCCACTGTCCTAAAAGACAGGGAAGAAAACACAGTCCAAGAATAGGACTGAGTAATGTGTTAGTCTACTAATACCAGCAAGTTTATAAACTGGGGGTAACAAAACATTTAAACACAGACTTCCAATCTGGATCCTTCCCATCCATCAACAAATTATTCAGGATGGAAATGCGCTGTTTCCCAAACACTGTATATATATAAGTTACTGAAGTAGGACTGACAGCTTTACATTAACCTACTTTGGTCCCAGTTTCTAGGTGGAGGAAAACAGTCCAAAAGTGATGTAAAAAAACAACATCGCTATTGCTACCCATCATTGCTATCACACTGCGAGTGGTCTTACTGGTTATATAGTGCTTGTCATTGCACAGATGTTAAACAAGCTTATGGGGGACAAAACTTCCCTCCTTTCCTGGATGAAAAGAGAGGTTCAGAAACATGGAGGAACTCAGAACCAGGCTGCCTTTGAAATGAAGTTGCTTCTACAGCATTATTGCTCTGAATAATTATTATAGTGAACATGTAAAATACAAAGTACTTGTGTGAAGTGTAAAATAACTGCAAACAACTATTTCCATCTGGAATAGAAATGTATATTTTGCCGTCATCCTAGTCACATAAAATACAGTAATTTTCTAGTAAAAAAATGCTTCTTTTCAAATAGTAGCCATTCAGAACTTCACAGCTAGCAGAATGTTGCTGGCATTCATATATATGTATGTGTGTATATATATCTCTTAGATTTCAACTGAACCTTCTCCTTTCACTACTGTTTTAAAAATTATCTCCATCAGGGAATAAAAAAGCAAAAGAAAGAAGTGCCCAAGCTAGCCCACAGCAGATACAGCAGAAAGGCAGTAGGTTTCAGGGCAGCCACCTTATCAGTTTCCTCTGGTTTTGCTCCAGCAATCCGTGGCATTGCAGTCCATTGCTTCTCCTTCCCAGGCAGCGTTTGCACTTGGAAAATGTGGTCTCCTCTTTTCTATTTGGTTTTCATTTTACAAAACCAGTGTAAATCAGTAAGCAATGAGACAGACACACACTATACATGAACATAAAACCAAGCCATCTGAAAGTGACAGAACATACTAGATGAGGGGAAAAAATATAGATATAAAAGAACTTGGACGGCCTTCAACTTTAATATAAAGAAGTCAACACAGAAAGTACACAGAACCACGTAATAAAAACTAAGTTACACTTTTATGTAAATGTTGTTTTAACCAAAAAGATACTTAAAACTACTAAATGAACCAATGTGTCATGGACATTTGAAAATTTGACCAATATTTGTACCTATGCATATACCACTACGCATAGAAATATTCAGGTACTACTCAGAAATTTAAGAAATAATTTCTTGGCAGTAACCATAAATTAACAAAATAGTCACTAAAGAAGTGATCCAGTCAGTGACTGTATTATCTGTATGCACATACAGTTCACATTGCGTAAGTACCTCACTGAAATAATGGCCTATTAACAAAAATCGTTTAGCAGCATCAAGCAAGCTTAATTGAAAGTTCACCTCTCTGGGGACTGAAGAGAATCCTTAAGAATTTAATGGGATAGGACAACAATACATTTAGGAGGGAAGGGTAGGAACAACGGTGAAAGAAAAGGATAACAACAGAAGATAAACTGATTACTTTTGAAGACTGATTTGCTTTTCTACTCTATGAAAGAGGCAGCAAACAACTCCTCATAAAACTAAAAGTTTCACAACTGCAAGAGAAATGGATTTGGGTAGTTTTCTTGCCACGAGCATTCAGGATGCTATTTGTAGAAAACAGTTTTCCAAACTGCTGTTTTAAGGTTCAGTCACGAAGGAAGTATAGAGAAAGAGTCGGTTAAATTATTTTATAGACTTTGGAGATTAAGGTGAGTAAATTTTAGCAATTACATAAAAGATGTCCTGATCATGTAAGGTCCTTCTGAAACAGCACACAACTGTGTGCGTTTTGCACAAGCTGCCTGTGAAGGGTTAAAGAGAGGAAAAAGGAGGGAGATGTTCTGGTGTCATTGAAAAGTTATCATCACCAATCTGTGTAAATCAGAGTGAAATTTCAGCTGTCTTTAACATACAGGAAAATACTGCCATTGCCTCATTTTTTTTCCCAGTTATTTTAATTCATTTCTGGTAGAAGAATAAAAATCCACATGTTATTTTAAGTCAGGTCCAATGGTAAGCAGTAAAAAGTTAATGTGTACTTAGTATAAACAAATATTCTATTAGCCAACGAAAGCGTTAATCTAAAAGACAAACTGCATTTACTCTATTATGTACAGGGTTGTAGGAACAAGCGTCTGCAGTGACATACCCCTTGTGTCTGTAGGGACAGAGGTGTGATACGCCGCTTTTCCCACTCGTTTGGGCGTGGTTCAGGTGTGGACTCCATGAAATTGCGCTTGAGCTCACTAATGCTAGCCTGGTGTTTCAGTAAGTCGTCCTGGGTCTTATCCAGGTCCTAGCAACCCGCAACGTAAAACAAAGTAGGACAAAACACGACAACAAAAGCAAACTTAACTGGAAAAAAAAATAAAGAAAAGAAACAAAACCAAGGAAAGTGCATTGTGTCTGAAGAGCTCTTCTGCTCCGGAGTGCCTTAAAATGAAGAAGTTTAAAGCTATAAGGGAACTAATACGTTTTTGGGTTTGTTTTTGTAACTAAGGGCCACTCACACACTGTTTCTGCCATATTTTAAGGCAAATGAAAAAATAATGCTCTGTATGGTTATTTAACAGAGCACTATTTTAATCCAAAATGTGAAACTACTAGCCCTTTGAAACAGTAATTTCCAGTTGTTACTTGCTTTTATTTAACATTTGTAAGCACAGAAGCAAGTGTTTTGGGATACTGCACAACTAATACTACTGAGGGCAGCTGTAAGAAAGAACAGTAACCCAAGAGGCCGTACAAAAATGCACCCTTCTTGATACTAAAGTCTCCATGAAAAATACTTACTTCTGCAAAGACAATACTACAGGACCAAATACGCAAGCAACGAAACCTGCTTATCTTCAGAGGGACTACTCAGTGTGCCTGTCAGGCAGGTATCAACTTAGTGGAAGAGTCAGATTTAAAGACTTCAGGCCTGATATCTGCCAACTGCACATTTAAGAAGCTGACAGCAGACACAGCACTCAAGCAGGACAGTTTTTGTGTACATCAATACCAGAGATGTTCTCCCTAAATTGCACCTACATAGGCAAGTGCCAAAGGGAACACCACAGCATGAATATCAAATTAAATTTTATGATGGCCCATGGAGGCTAAGCTGCAGCACCTTAAATCAAATAACCACATGAAGACCAAGAAGCTCTTCCCTTCTGGCAGCTCAGGGAGTTTGGATTATCACAGGACCAATGCTTCATTTTTAATGGAGGACTAACAAACGACACACTAAACACATCCCCCTGAAGTATGCATTTTCTGAAGGCAGTAAAACCCTATGTCAAAGGCATTCCATTGCACAACTGAAGCTCGCAGCAGTTGTGTCATCATTTTAAAACCTGTCTTGGCTCGACACAAGGCACATTTCTTGGACTGGATCAAAGCATAGTTATGCAAGGCACACTTTCAGTGCTTTAGTAAGTTATATACAAGCAGAGTTTCAATAGTGATCAAAAGCTGCAAAAAGCCAAAAAATGTATTAGTCAGGTTACTGCGATCCATACATCTTCTTACTGAACAAAACCAATGACTTTTTAAAAGACAGTTTTTGTGACAAAGGGAATTATTTATAGCCCCATCTGGAAGAATAAAATTAAAGACACCAGTAGGATTTTGTAAAATTTCTTTAGTTACTAGTTTATGTTATTAACCACAAGTTAAATGACACTGATCATAACTACAGATAGTCTTTGATAAAATAATCCAGATTAACAGACTATATGGAAATTCTTATAATAAAAATCTCTACTCTTCAGTGACAAAGCACTATACATTAATACACTGTTCAAAGCTCTTTGTTGTTGCTCATCATCAATGAAAACCAACCTTTAGGAAGCAAGACTTCCATTTGAAAAGTGAAAAAATACGGCAAAGATTTCAGAAGCATATCTAAATATCTCCTTTAAAAATCTCATTCTCACATACATTTTTCAGAGCTCCTAAAATCAAAAAGCATCAGAAGCAAAATTAGTTTTTCATTAATTCTATCACTGCTTGTGCTTTACCAACTCCATTTATTCAGATAAGGTATTCGATAAACGTTGATTAAACTGGTGAAAGCTGGAAACCTTGCTCAACAGAAGATACATACATTGAAGAGCAATGTATAAAAATCCCATTTAGGATTATGAACTGGACCCATATGCTTGCTTTATCTAAATAGGGCTATTATTCCCAGTTGCCAACTTGAAAACATCTAGCAAAAATACACAAAACTAATGTTCAACAGACAAGTTGAGGAGTTTTTTATTTGGATTTTTTTGTAGTTTTGGGGGCTTGTGGTTTTTTTTTTATTTTATTTCATTTTGTTTTGTTTTTTAAAATTTAAACTTAAACTCAGAAACTAGAATTATAACATGCAACATTTCCAAGCTGCTTTCCCCCATGCACTTCATGCACTGTGTCTGTAACAGCCTGCAAGTGACCTCCCATCCCATGCAGCCTGGCAGCCCGTGAGAAGGGAAAGTGTTTCTTATATTATATACAAACCTCCAACATTAAATTGCTATGTCTGACATAAATATTTTCCCCGTCTACTCTCAAGGAATTGCTCTGTGAAATTAAGCCACACACACACACAAAAAAAATAAATCAAAATGAACATAAAATGTACCACCAAGTAAATTAAAAGACACCTAGAAACAGACAGTTAAATAAAGGAACTAAAATGGTAAGGCACTATTCAAATTAAATCCAGAGAAAATCTAGGGTGCTAACATGGCAGGCAGCTACAGCCAGATTTAATTGTAAAAAACCAACCATGCACCTTCTGCTGTGCCTCCTCCTCTTCAGATTCCACCTATGTGAGCACGTGGGAAATTATCAAGAAAAGGAACTGTTAACATATGCTTACAGAATAATAGAGGCTTCATCTCTTTGTAAATGCTGCAAAGCGTGCTATATTTACAGACCTTTACTGTTTCCGCCCCAGATGTTGTTGAAATTAAGCGACTTTGGTCTTCCTTCACCTACATTGTCGTAGAATGGCTGAAGTAATATTGGGCATAAGTGGCATGAAAAATGGAAGTTTCACACTATGTCCCTTTCTTCCTTTACTTTTCAGTATTTTCCCAGATGGAAATTTAATGAGTAAAGAAAAAAATAATGATATGCATAATTACTATGGTAAGCGCCTTAAACTCTGCAACAAGGTGATAGCAAAATGGAATCTAATGCATGAGTTTCTGCTGGTAAGAGAGTCTAGGATTCAAGCCAAACACCTAAATACTGTATTCACAAACAGTCTTAATTATTTTGAGAATGCTGCTGTCTTGGGATGAGTTATTTGTACCCCATCCCCCCATTTAGGTGAGTATAGCCTTCCTCAAACTGCAATGCACTCACTCTGTGGGAAATGACAGCTAATCTTCATGGTACCTACGAGTATTGTGAATGCCTGAAGGAACATAAGTCTTTAAAACCAAACCACTCCCCAGTCTTTCCACAGATACAAATATCAACTGCTAATCTTAGGAAAAGATGTGTTTAGAAGTCAGCACTGTGCAAGTACATAAATTTGAAGAGGGGTTTACTTATTGCACAGACTGTTGCATTGTGGACACTGTGAGAACACACATATAATGTGGTACATACCACATTCTTATTCATTTCTCACTTCTCTGGGGTTCTGTTTTCTGCAACTTTATGTTAAAAATGATGGATTGAATTAGGTTACAGAAATACTGAGAAAGTCTTTGAAGTCATGCTTTAAGCTTAGATCAGTGTTTTTAATGACATCATGTCGTATTTAGCATGTTTTTAATATGTAAATGGTATTGATTTAATCAGTTTAACAAACTGTTCAATGTAACATTGAACAGGCCCTCTCCCTTTTAGATTCTGTAATATTTGGTTTCCTGTTTCATTTGAAGGTCAGCACAAGCCACCTTTTTCTAGTACCATTGCTGTAACATGCACAGCAGACGTAAGGAAAGGAGGCATTTTGTCAACCACTCCAGATGATCAGAGCAGTGTCTTAGTGTGACTGAGGCTTCTGTACAGCAATTTTAACTGCTTATTTCAAAGGATGTTCAGACTCCAGTGATTAAAGTGTGACACAACCTGCAATCTCAGCTAGTGAACAAAAATCGGTCTCCACCTTAACTGCTGCTAGAGATTGATGAAAGCACTTAAAAACAAACAAAAAAAGCGCCTTGGACAGACTCAACTTTGCACACACCCTTGTAGAGCAGAAACAGCTGAAATCTGGAATAACAAAGGAACTGATTTTAAAGCATTCACAATTTTCTGAATTTGTTTTTTTAGGAGTTTTGCTTTCCAGATCTAAACACAACTTTGGAGACGTGCATTCCCGTCAACACATGCAGGAAACATGCATTTAACACAAACTAATAGTGCAAGGAGCACAACTTGAAAATAGTATAAAGTAGTAATATATCTATTAGTACACAGCACTTTCAGATATATGTGCTTATAAACATTTTGAACTACAAAGCAACTCTACTTGCAGCTCAGTATCTGTGGATACTAATGAAGTTATGCATGCTGTAGGAACTCAGGCAGAAAATCCACCAGCTATCTATTAACTAAAAATCCCTCAATAGCAATTTTTCACAAATGATAAAAAGTTAGAAAGATACAGATATACACGTGTGTGTGTGTGTGTGTGTGTATACAGGCATGTATATCATTATACTAGGAAGTGTGCAAAACTGAGCAAGACTCTGGGAGAACTAGCATAAAAGCTATATGCAAGTATCAACACTTAAGCAACAAAATTACACACCTCCTCTTCCTCTGCTTTGTCATTCAGGTCATTGTCATTAGAGGCACTAAAGGAAGTCGCTTTAGGCTCCAGGTAGCAGAGAGACAGAGCAAGAGGAAGGGAAAATGTGAGTGAAAAAGGAATAGACTGGAAAGCAGACAGAAGCAGCATGAAGATAAGGAGAAAAGAGGGGATGAAGGAAGGAGAGGTGATAGGAAGATAGTGCTGAAGGCCAGATGGGAGAAAAGAGATGCAAACATCAGGAAGGCTGGGAAAAGTAATATAACCATCCTCATCAAGCAGCGAATGGAAACTAAAAGAAAAGCATCTGATAATGCTGAATGAGACACACAGCTCCGTGCTTTTGTAGTCATCGGTATGGATTTTTCCCTCTGCAGCAGGGCAGCCTCGACTAGCTAGGGGTTTCATGGATTCAAAGATATTATTTGGTGAAGCTATTTTGTTTTTACTATGATCTGGTGTTTCTTTCATGGAATTGCACTCTGAGATGTCTGAAATGGTAAGGAGGGGCTCCCCAAAAGGATCTTCCTCTGAAATATCTGAAAGCGTGTCCATCTCAGGGACGGGTGACAGATCTGTGAAATGGGATGATGTGGAATGGATGGGTAGTGATGACGGGTGTACGTGAGTGAGCTGAAGAAAAAAATTCTGTGCACAGTGGAAAATGAAAGCACAACGAAATGCAAGTTTGAAGGCACAAGAAGAGGAGGAAAAAAGAGAAATTATTAGTTAGTGAAAATTTTTACTTAGAAGCAGGGGTATCTCTACTAATGCAACAGCAATGCCAAATAAAAATAGAAAGCCTCTTGTGTTTCACAAGCAGCCAATTTGTTTACTTCTGTGGAGTATGAAACAGAACCCATTACGCATGTTGCGTTCTCAGGCTGTAAAGAATTGTGCCCTTCTGAACTCTAACAGTCACTTACAACAGATGGGAGCGGACAGACATTCAGAGCTTCAGCAGAAAGGTCAGGGGACAGTACAGTGCACGAAAGACAAGCTGGCACTTTGATTCCTGGCTTTATAACCATTTCCTCTAAGACTTAAAGAGAGCCAGAAAGGAAAAGAAGTATCTGCGCTAGGGGGAAGAAAAAAGCTGTTCACAGAATTGGCATGTGTAATAAAACCTTACTGAACAGCTTCCTGGAACAACTTCCCAGAACACTGTGGTTTGGTTTTTTTTTCTGGTTAAATTGAGAGATACTGTCACTTTGAAAACAAGGGTGTATCACCATTTTACCAAGCCCAAAGTCAAAACATGGGAATTTATTTTACCATTTTTCTCCCATAAAGAAACTGTGTGTGCCTTTTTCCTAGGCTAATTCAAAATTATTCCAACTTGCCAGCAAACAAACAAAAAAATTGCAACTGTTGGTATTTGTTTTTTTCCTACACTTGAATGCAGTGAGAACATATGAACCACACAGAGAAACTCAGCAGTCCCTCTAGGAGTCAAATGGGTGCAGTTAATGCGCAAAAATGTTTGAAAACAAAGTTACTCTTTAAATATGAAAGAGGGGTCTGCAGAATTGCCAGAAAAAGAAATTATTTCCAAGGGAGAAGAGCAGCAGATTTCAGCTTGGAAGGAAATTTTTACATCAAATCATACACGATCTAAATTTAATTTTTTGACCTATTTCCCTAGTAGCTCAAACAAAGAAGACAAGTAAACGGTTGCAACAGGAACATACCAAAGTAGTCCACCTTTCACACAAATCTATGTCTGAGTCAACATACAAGGTTTTAAAGGATGAAATAATTCTGCAATAGCTACTAAAACCATACTATTACCTATCATAATTAGACACACATATACATACATATGTCATAACATACACAACTTCGTGGAATGTTATTACTGTATACTTTTTTAAAGTCTAGCAAACCAAGAAAATGAATAAAACGTTATTTACCCTTTGAAACATTTTTTTAAGAACTCATGCAAGCTTACTGGGAATTCAAATTAAATTTATAGCAATAAGAGAAACTCTAGATCAGTGTCATTCAGAAGTTTGTATTCTCTTTTGCTCACATATACTTACATTAGGTTAAGCCTACAGAAAACCCTTGATAATTTTCCTTTAATATTTTAATATAGCGTTCTGTATGATGCTCAGAAGTAAGAGGCACTAAATAACCACAAATAGACACGTACTACATGAACAAATAATTTTGGAGTGAAAGTCAGCCATACCTTTCCATCCTGAGGCAATTCTAATTGAGGAGTTTTGACTGGGCTTCCATCTTCTTCTCTGCCACCTTCTTTTAACTTGGCCTGACCAGCAGCTTCAATGTCAATGGTTTTATCTCCAGCAGCAAAGTCTCTTAGCAGACTTTGGTCTGAGATACCCATGGGAGCTATTAAAGAATAAAATAATTTTTGTTAATTGGAACATTTTGGTTTTAAGGCTTCTTAACAAGACTATTTTATGGTGACATCAGCAATGAGGAATACAGGGTAGTTACTGAGTGATATAATATTTTCAGGCTTCTTGGCTTTGCTTCTCATTGCACTGCTACGATCAGCAATGTACCCTTTTCATATAATATGCACTTACTATGCAAGGGAAAAAAAACCTCACAATACCAGGTAGGTCTTTAATTATCAAGTTCCTGATCAGTCTTGCAAGGCGAATTGAAGGTACTGTGCTTCTGACTATGTAAATCACCATAACAAAAGAGAAATAGGCAACAGTGTTTGGTGGAAATTCACTATTTTAAGAGGACTGTTTTAATGCAATATAGAAATAGATATGCATATAACTGTCACAATATTTTTCTCCTGAAACCTTAGCAAAATAGCTGCTGCGGAAATAACATCTCAGTGAAAGCAAGACTTTTCCTCCCTATATGTTTGCAAACAATGGAAGGGGGAAATACTGCATATATATACATGAAAATAGTCAAAGCACAAGAAAGTGAAAGGCCTTAAAGTAGTTTTTTTTCCTCTTATTTGATTTAGCATAATAGGATTAATGAGCAGGGTGGACCTTTTTTTTTTTCCCAAATGAGGATGACTGGCTCAGTCAAAATAGTAGTAATGAAACACAGGCAAATTCATTAAGTTAAGCAGCTTTAATAAATCCAACTTTGATATAAATTTAATTCATTTAGCAATCTTCTGTAATACCTCCATATGCCTTGATTTTACAAAGTCAAAGTACAGAAAGTTGAGAGGAAGATGCAAATACCTTTGAGGGATATCCTTTTTTGAAACGAGTCTCAGCTCAACATCAGAGACTCCCTTAAGCTGCTGAGAAGCCAAGGCCAGCTAATAGCAAATGTGGGATTTGGGGTGTTTGGCTTTCAGGGCATCTTTAAGTAGTAAGTTCTGGAACTTAAGCTTCCGATCCCTTCTTGGGGGGCAAATAGAGCATTTCTTGGGTATAAGTCCCGCAAGTTCCACAAGTAACTTCTGACAAATCAAAGGATAAATTAGGCTGGAAGGAACATCTGGAGGTCAACGAGTCCAACTCCCTGCTCAGAGCAGGTCCAATTAGACCAGGCTGCTCACAGACTTGTCCAGTTGAGTTTTGAGCATATCCAAGGTCTTCTCTAAAATACTCCTGTGAGCAGCTGTAGACAGCAATATGTCACTACAGCCTTCTCTTCTCAAAGGTGAACAATCACACTTCCCTCAGCCTTTCCTCATATGTTATATGCCCCAGTCCTCTGACTAGCTTGGTGGCTCTTACTGGGCTCATTGCAATATGTCAATGCCCATCTTATACTGGGGGAGCCCAAAGATAGACATGGTACTCTAGATATGGTCTTGACAGTACTGAATAGAGAGAAGTAATAATTTCTTCTAATGTGCCAGCTATACTCTTGCTAATACAGCCCAGATAGAGCTGGTCGCTTTTGCTGTAAGGGCACACAGTTGACTCATGTTCAACTTGTCCAGCAGAAGTCCCCAGATTCTCTTCTGCAGAGCTGCTTTCAGTGCAGTCACTCCCCTTCTAGCATCTACGGGTGTATGGTGTTACTCCAACTTGGGTGCAGGACTTTGCATGTATTTGTGTTGAATTTCATAAAGTTCCTTTCAGCCCAGCATGCTGTGGTCCCTCTAGCAAGGGCTAGGTGGGAGGTGGAGCAAGAGTAACCCTTACAAGGATGAGTATGCAACTCTAGATATCTGGGAGGAACAGTGGTACTGGACATGCTGTTCACAAAGAAGAGGCAAAGTGCAAGCCCACCCTCTACAGAATTTCTCCTTTCAAGTGTACACTCACAGTACGAGCCTACATCTGGACTATGACCTGAAGAAAGAACAATATTTGAGTCTGACTTTGAATCAACACAATTTAAAACTATTACAGCCTGCAGACAGTAACACCAGCAAGCTGCCTTTAATGCTGCCAGGAACAGCTGGTTTCATTTGAGATGAAGCCAAATATGATTAAGGGGGGAAATTACAACCAAGGGCAATGTTTCATCATGGTCAAAATTTTGACTGTGATGGTTCTGCAAGAGTGAAAGTTTGGACCTGAACACACATGCATACACATCTGTATTCTGCAGATGATGCACAAAGGATCCCAGAAAGGCTTGCTGATACAATCTTCAATAATTAGGAAGAATTCAAATTGTTTCAAACCAAAACAAGTACAGGAACTAAACCAGACTCAGATTGTAACACCGATGTGGTAACAAGTCTTTTGGTTACCACAAGGATTCATCACATGCTACTATAGCACATTTTGCCTCTTATTTTTTCTTCGCTTCTCAGAAGGTAAGACCTTGTAGGTTTCCCAAGGAAGTGTCACAGTTTGCTCATTTGTCCAAGAAAATAAGGTAAATTTAAAAGCTAAATTGTAGCTAAACTCACATCACTGCCACAGTTCACTTTCATTCTAGTGAAGCTGTGTATGCCTGAATCTAAATCAAGCTTCATGTCATTTCTCTGAAGAATTTTTCTACTTAATATTTATTTCAAAAGTGATTTATAGTAAAACATGTGCTTCTACATCTCTCACACATACTGCTGCTATGCCTGCCTTTATTGAAAACAGCCATGCCTTCCAAAGGAAACCAGAAGGTATTTCTGCTCAAAGAGACCAAATGCCAGCAACCACACAAACATTTTAACTATTCAAAGAACTTTCAACATAAAGCTTTTTAACAAAACACAGAAGGAACTACTAAAATACTAGGATAGCCATATACTGAACAAAGTGATAAACTAGAAGAAGAAACACGTTCTGTGTTTTGTTTGGTAGAGAGGGGCACTCAGGCCAACCCAGAGCCCAAAATATGCCACTGACCAAACAACTCTAATCAACGGAATATAGCGCCTACCTATCCCATAAAATGGATACAAGTGGCGAACACAAATGCTACATGTCCAATACAGAATCCTCCACATATTCACAGCAGTGACATACAATTTAGGCAGTGAATTAACTTACTGTTTAGGTCTCCTAAAAGTGAAATGTAACCAAAATGGTTACTCCTCACACCACCCATTAGAAACTGAAGTACATACATTTGTCAAGTGGTATTCTGGTCATCCACAGCGTTGTCGCAACACATAATGTAATCATTACACTGAAGAAACAAGTCAAATTTCATACCTCTATCAAGGCTCCTGGAAACACGTTTGCTTGAAGTGCGCTCAAAGTAGGGAGCTGGTCTGTCTATGAGGTTGCTGGCCTGTTGTGTCTGCGCTTGCGTACGTCCACTGTAGCGGAACTTGGAACCCAAGGACAGAAACTTTGCTTTTGGAGGCTGCTCCGGTGATACAAGTCTGAAAAGTAAATATGAGGAAAGTCAGTTTAAAAAGGCTTTATTTTATGTATTTAGTGAAGTACTTTAAAGCTTAGTATACTTCAACTTCAGTTCACTGTGCATGATTTGTGCACGCCAAGAAAGGATTCTACCATAAGCTCTGAGAAGAACTTCTAAAACAATGCATGTTATTCATTATTTGCAGTTGGAGTTGAAGTCATTCCGATAACTATCACATTTTCCACAGTATGACGAGGCATCCTTATCTTTTGGTGCTATCTTGGTTAAACTGTATTTTCTGTAGAAATTACGGGTCCATGTAGAATACTCAGATTTCTTTCCTTAGAATGTTACTAACAGTAGAAACTATACTGGCTTTCCTGTATTCAGAGGTACCAATACAGCAGCTGCTATTCCTCAGACTTAGCTGCATAGAAAGCTGTATCAAGTGAAAAAAAAGGTTGAGATGGCTGGAGAGTTGTGATCCAGCAGGAAGAAGTTTAACAAGCTAGATTCAGACTCCAGTTTCTTTACAATGTCATTTATAGATTTATGTAAGTTGATGTTTGTTGGATATAAGGAGCGTAAAAAAAGTATATTGTGAAAAGGGTGAAAAAGATTCAGTTACAAGTACTGTCAATGCTAGGTTCTGTGCTGGGTATGTATGCTTGTACCTAAGCGTTGGAGTCAATGTCAGAAAGTCCAAAGTAACAATGTGGCAGAATTTGCTGTTTGTATTTGACACCATACAAGTCCTTTATACCTCCCTGAATTTCCTTCAGTATGAGGACCTCAAGTTCTTATTCACATAACTCTCATTACTTGTACTTTGTTTTTCAAACTTGAGCCATCAGCTTTGACACTGAGGGTACTGTTTGTTCCAGTCTCATCCTTGCTGACAGGATAAACAGTCACCACTGCAGGAACTCTCCCCAGTCTCAGCTTCTCTAGAAAAGTCTTTGATGTTTCTTGCCAGCTCAATGTAGCGCTGCAAATACATGCTCACTCGGCATAGCAGCCTCCATGGCCTATTCTCCCTCTGTAGTCTATTACAGATAGAGCTGTTTTGATCTGAGGATCTGCAAAGAATGAAAAGTTCACTGAACATCAGCTTCTTTCAAGCAAAACCAGCCACTACTGTGGCTTTTGTACTTAGGACGGCACCAATGGACAAGTGAAACTTCAAAGTATGCTAACTTCGTTCTACTCTTTTGAAGCATTTGCACAGTGAATATCTGTATTAGTGGAATCTGATCCAACATATAGAATCATAAAATCATTTGGTTGCAAAAGACCTTTAAGATCACTGAGTCCAGCCACAACCTGTCCACTACTAAATCATGTCTCTAAGCATCTCCTCTACCCATTTTTAAATACCACCAGGGATGGTGACTCTACCACTTCCCTAGGCACATTAAAACAGTACCTAGTGGTGGTTTCTGAAAACTGAGTCATTCTACAGGTATTTCAGCAAAACTAAAGAATTTTCAGATACTTCACCAGAAGACCGGTGTGCTAGGTAGAAGGTTACTTTTTTTCTAAGCGAGGACGTTTATGGCTTTGTCAGAGAGCTGGCCAGGAGGATCCAATCCTGCATACCTAAGATGCATATGCATGCACCTGAACCCTGGTCTGTTCCAGCACATCTTTAAAGAAAGCAATTGAAGACAGGGTAATCCACTCTTTTACACTAAGGCCACTTGTTGAAATTGCAAGAATCTGGAACTACACTTTCCTTATAAAACAGCCTTATGCAATCTTTATGGCAACTTATTTCTCCACATTATTTCCAAGAGAGAGTGCATTATGCATTAAGAGGAAGAAGGCTAAGAGGGTTTTTCCAAGGTTCTTTCTGTTCTTTATTTTCCAGTCTTGGCAAGGCTACAGCATTAACTGCCATTTTTATCTACCACCCTGCTGAGATAAACTTTTAATCTTTTAATGTGGAAAATAAAAAGAGAACTAATTACTTCCTGATTAAGGGCATTTGAATGGATTTTTTGTATTACAAGCTTAATTACATAAAATAACCAAAGACTATGCTTTTACCATTTTAAGACATTCTGGGGAGACACTGAAGCAATCATGAAAATTTCAAATAAAACATCATAAAGCAGAATTACAAGCAGGTTTCTGCAGCCATTGGTTAAGATCCAGAGCTGCAGGCTAAGCTTAACTTACAGGTTAATCTAGATACACTGTCTGACTGTATTTCTTAAAGTAGATTGTTGCTCTTTGAAAATGGTACTGGGATCCTATAAGGTTGAGCTGATACAAGTGAATCCAATGCCTTTTGGTTGTCATTTTCAATGAAATTCATTACCAGTTTTTATAACTAAATTAGTATGCTGGCTGAATTTCCCATAATTTATATGATGGATCTTCATGTCATTATTTGAGAAAAACTGAAACATTGCAGAAGACAACACAAGGAATCTTACAATGTTATACAGGGGATGCTAAGAGATGTGGAAGCTAAAAACATACATCTTGATTGAATACAATTTACTGTGGTATCATACACAAGCTTTACACATGCTCTGAAAGAACTACAGTCTTTCGGACTGTAGCAATTCCTTTCTGCTTTTTGTCTTTGGAAAAAAAACAGAGCTGGATTTATTTCATCGTTTTTAAATCAGGATGAGAGGTTCTGAGGATTTTCTGATGACATCAGTGGAGTATGTGGATTTTACAGAATGGTTCAAGTAATTGTTACATAGTTCTTGTTATAATGCCATTCCTGGTCAGGAAAAGTCACTTCTAATTGGAATAAAATCCAATTATTTTTATTATGTCAGAATTTCCGTAGTAAGATTCTCTAATATGTATTAACACTCCTGAAAACTTTTATATTTGCAAATGGCAGTTCTCAGTTTAGGATTTTTGGCTTTCACGATATTTGGTTTTGCCTGTTCAAGTCCATTTTATCACTATAAAATTAGGAAATACAGTTTCCCATAAAAGCATGAGTTATTTAAAAGTGTTGATAAATTTTTCACTGCAGACAGAACTGCATGCTTTTTGTGGTAATAGACATCACCAGCCAAAGCAGACTTCAAATTTTAAAGAGTGGAATGGTGGACTAAGTATCTTAATAAACTTAACTAATTAATTCTATCAGACACACAAAAAAATCTTTGATCAAAATTTAAAAAATAAGTGCTTCTAAACTAAGCACCTTGAGACTGATTGCCAATCTCAGCATGAATTCTAACATTGCATTCAAGAATACTCTATGTTCAAGTAAAATCTGAATACTGAAAACCATTCAATGAGACAGTTCTAGTAATGAACTGCTTAAGTCTCCTGGTTCCCAAGTTTTCTGAAGGTCTCAGTCTAGCACGTATATTCAGCTTAGATTAGTATGCAGCAACAGGACTGTATCTACCTTAAAACACAATTGCTTTTTAAAAATAAAAGCCAGGCTCCTGAAGGAGAAAGCTTACCTTTTACATACCCTAGTTATATGCTCATTTGAAGCAAGAAACTCAGATTCAATGCCGATTCAATGCATAAGAGATTCAACCTAAATCTGAGACTCCTAAGCTGCATGGGGCACATGCACTCCTTCATGCAGTTCATGCTGTTGTAAAAATTAAATTAAGATTTTTCAAATTTCCTTTTCAGTTGAGAAAGCAGAAAGAAAAAGAACTCTGTGACCTACTGTTAAAGTGCTTGTTTACAAATAGACCATAGTTTCAATGACCAGTTCAGAACTTAATCAGTTGCTGGTGAAAAACTGCAGAGACAGTTATGGATTATTACATAAACAAATAGTAGTCTGTTTTTAAAGTGATTCTCTGCTCTTTAAAGAATGACTTTGAACTCAGCCCAGTTTTTAAATAAGGAAAAATTCAGTTGTAAGCATTTACACTCAGCAGAATATTCTGAAAAGTGAAGTGAATGAAGATTACTGTCAAGCCCCAAGAGCTTCTTGTGAAGGAGTAGAGTGGCCTTCTAGACGGTCACTCTGAAGAGCTGATCTCTCAGAAAGTCTTAGTACAATCACCAGTTTAGTTCCATCCGGTTAGCACTCTGAAAGTTTAAATAAAGCAATTAATTGTACTGGACACTTGTGGAATTGGTAACTTGGGGTCAAAGACTGTTAGGGTGTCTTCTAAGAGGTGTTACTGGACTGAGAAATTAGGGACAAAGACAGGGGAAATCTCTACTTTTCTTGAAAGATAGGCGCATACCTGGCAAAGTAGGGGAAGCAGAGAATTATAATTTACCTGAAGAAAGTATGGTGCTCCACACAAACCTTCCATAACCTTTTAGCAGCCCGATGGTTTGGCAGTTTGAACCCAATAGTGCTCTCAAACTGTTCCAGCTGGAAAGAATCCACAAATAAATTAACCCATTTCCTTAAGCTGGCTATTAACTAGGAGGCAAAGCTCAGATAGCTCCATTACTGTAACAAGCTGAAATTCTCTTGTTATGAGACTTCATGTGATTTTAAAAAAAAAAATTAGAAAAATTAGAATTTCCAGTCTTCTAGTAAGATTATACTTGGCAAGCTTGTCATGATAGGTAATAATCACAATATCATTTCTTATCTGTACTACTGTAGTTTAGTGTTTCTTGCTGTTTTCTGACTAGCTGCCCAGTGTCTTTATTTTTAAACCGCAAGAAGTAATTCTACTGCAGGGTGTGCTGCACACTTCCCTTGGATTTAATAAAAGTGTCAAGCTTACCTGATCTATTTCACTATGTAACAGGTTCTGAGCAAAAAAATTACATCTATGCACTGTCAGTGCAAGAACAACACATCTGAGTTCCAAAATTTACAAAACTACAAAGTTAGTATTGTAGTATTGGTATTTAGACCTCTCTTCTGTTTTATTTATTCACAGAGTAAGAGCTACCTTAAAAGTTTGTTGCTGGATAGAAATTATCTCACAAAAGAAACAAGACAGAAAGGTGCTACTTACTTCTGCTGGTCTGACTTTGATGTAGAAATTACTTCGCTTATAGGAAATCTTCAGAATTTTTGGCCAAGCAAAGCGGTTGATCCGGAGTCTGTCTTTGTAAATGAGCAGTCCATTAGCACATACACCCAGCATGATATCCACACCTTCAGAATCCTATCGTGTATGAGACAATTCCATAAAAATCAGTTTAGTAACATTCCAAACAAGCAGTTATTGCTGGCATGCCTTGAGGGAATAATGCAACTGGGACTTGTTTCATATTCAAACCTGAAAGACCTTGACAATGAGATTCTTAAAGCAGAAATAACCAAATATATTATTTTTATTATAAAGCCTTAAAGTAATGGGCTTTGGCATGCCTTTATCTGCATATGCCACATCTTGGAAATTCTTCAATATCCTGGCAATAGGGACCAAGTCAATAACTTAAGAGCAAGGATGGATGGTGGATGTGCTACCAATAATTTCAACAACCATTAGAAGGAGAAAAAGTCAAACCAGGCCTTTCCAACTTAGAAGAGTCAATGAAAGTCTGAACAAGTTGGTGATCATGGTCACCCACTAGTATATTAAACACAGAGGAAGTAATGGACAGTTGGCTGAAAACATCAACACAATTATTTCAGTCAAAGTGCTGGTGAGCCAGGCTTCTGAGCATTCTGTTTTACTGAAGGAGTCTGATGCAAGTTTTATAGGCTCAAAACTCATCACTCAACTGATAAGGCTTCAATACACTGTACCACTACACAACACAGCAGAATCTCATGTCCTCCCCAACAACAGAACAACTACATAAAATGCTGACACTATCATTAAAAGGTTGCTGCACTGGCATAACTAACAGCTGCAAGCAGATTCTTGCAAACAGTGCTTCTAATGCTTGCAGTTACTTCACTATGGCAAAAGAAAGCTCCAAATAACTCTAAAACTTTGAATTCCTTAAAACACTAGAGACCAAGTGAACAGCCACACTGCACTTGTATTAAAAAATGAATAAATGTTACAGACATAGTTAATGCAGTTGAATAAAAATTTAAGTGTATTTCTTTCAAGTGTTCCTAACAGAACACAGAAAAAAGTCTATGGAAAATTGTAAAAACAAGTGAACAATGTTTCCATATGAAACAGAATTAAACAATTTTTCCACCAATACTTAGAAGTCTTGGTTTTCTTTTTTAAATATGGGACTGATATGCTTACAATGAATTAATTTTCCTAATCATTTGTGTGAGGGAGTGGGTTGATGAGTTGGTTTGTTTGGTTTTTAACTTAAAAAATTCCCCACTAGAAATGCAAATTTGATTTGACCTACATGGAGGAGTGGAAAAAGCATCAAAACCTCACCCTCCCCCAAGACCTAACCCACCCCTGCCTCTGTATTCAACTCTCATTGTATTACAGAAATAATTACATGTTCTTTTAGGCTTTACTTTATGGCCCCACATCTCCTTAGCATCAAAAACCTGACATGTAAAATTTATTTAGCCGCTCTTCTGAATAAAATATTTCCAAGCTGAATGTACATCTACACATTAAATAAACAGATTTAAACTAAATTCTAAGGATGTTAGAGCTGTAAACTGAATAATTATTGTTACCAAGAGAAAAAATGGTTATACCCAAGAATTCAGGGTATGAAGTTTTAAAAATAGTCTATATGTACTATGTTTTTTAATAATAAACATGTCTACCCTAAAATAAAACAAAACAAAACCAAACCAATCCCCAATACCTTGGCATGATGTAAATCCACTCCATACATGGAAAGTCTCTTAGCATTTTCTAGGAACTGGGAATCCGCCTGTGCTGGAGTCAAGCCCCTAAAACCATTGAATAAGCCTTGAGTTTATTGACAAAAGAACTGAGAATCAAAACTGAGTGGAATCCTGGAATTCAGACAGGTAGAAAAATCTCAGTTTGTAAGTTATCAATAGCATTTTTGCCCTAAAGGGAAAGTGTTCTTTCAAAGCATATTCTGTTCCTTTAGTAGAGACTGCCATATTCACTCTTTCAAAATATTTTAGCTGTATGTTGCTTAAACTAATTCATATGCTCCGATAGAAATATTAAGTGAAGCTGCTACTTTCAAACTGAAATTTTTAAACATGAAAGTAAGACGTTCTAGTTACATAGCAAAATATTTCCAAAGTAACAATAGCATCAGCTTAGCAGTTTTACACATACTCTTAAGAGAATTGACATAAAGGTGACAAACCATGATGATTTCATTTAATCCAGCTGTATGTGACACACCTGTGTGTTTTGTGTAGCTCAGCTACTTTCTCTTCCATTTCTTGAGTTTGATTGGGTGCAAAGTGGAATTCACTGATGTAGTGACTGCGGTGCTCATTGGGGTCATGATCACCCAGCTCGGCCTGCAGGGTATATGAGCCCAGGAGGGCATGAGTCACAAAAGAACATGGCAGGCGACCAGAAGCAATATCCTGACGAAGCTGTAGGCACAAGAAATATCTGCAAGACAAAGGAAAGCGGAAAAAACCCAAAACAAACAAAAAGAACAGAGAAAGTATTAGCAATGGCAAGTTTAGGAGAGATTTTGCAGAATTTATTGAGATGCATGTAATCATAAAGGTGTATGTTATAAGTCAATTAATAATCTGTTAAACTTTATATTATTTGAGCATTATTGCCACACAGTAAATTTCATTTCCATTTTTAACAGTCAATATTACTTCCATAAATAATGTGAAAAGCAGGAAAAATTCTGATTTCCAATATAAATGAATGAAAACCTGTATCTAGTTTGTAACAAAAGCTGAATTAGGGATTCATTCATTTCACACTGTAGCCTGCATCTATCCAAGGTTTACAAATAAAAACCCCTGCATTTTCTTTGACATTTCCCTTTGGCTTTAAAATTCCAACTTTTATATCCCTTGCAGTTCACGAGCTAGTCAAGTCATGTTATACACAAAAGAAATTTGGGTTAGTCCTGAACAACTTCTTTTAAATACACTGTGTACTAAATGTCTTAGAGTATTTGCAGCAATATATCAGCTACGCACTTGCACAGCTATCATATTTTGGGCAGAAGACTGATCCAATGCAATACGTAGTAACACATCCTGCCTCAGCAGTCTGCTAACTTCAAACCAAAACTAACTTCTTAGGTTTTCCATAACTCCTGAAAACCATGAGTGTCAATTCCCTGCATTCTACCCAGTGCATTCTAAGTATTTTCTGTTTAAGAACTCTGGAAAAGAATTATGTTCAGGTTTTATTATGTGTTATGGTTTTATTTAATGTGTAAGTATAAAATTATGTTTTCACCAACCTGGCCCAGATTATCACTGAAGTACCTTGGATCCCTTGAGCTTCGCTTGTAGTAGCAATAACCCCACACCCTCACATGCTATGTAACAAAGCAGCAGCCCAGCAATAAACCACTGGCTTCTTTCAAATATGATCACTTCTTACCTCCTGCCCAAATCACATCCCCACTTATCATTAAATTCTTCTTTCAGGTTTCTTCCTGAAGTTTTTACTTTGCCTTTTCAACCTCATTCCAAAAAGCAGTTGATAAAGAACATCTCTAGTGTTCTACAGTAATAGCCAAACTTGTTACAGCATCCAGAAACTGAAGAAGAAACTTTATATGGCCTTCAAATTAGATGGACAGTAATCTTTAAGTTTAAAATTGAGAGCTATGCATACCTAGTGATGTCTTCAATCAACTGTGAAGGATCAGTGGGGTAAAACTTCACATTAAAGGTGAATATCCAAGGTAAACCTAAACACGAAAATGTCCAATTGTTAATCTCAAACAAGGTGAGGCAAGCAAAAAAAGAACTTTACTGAAAAAAGTTAGGTGGTCATAAATCTTAGGCCACTGAAATCTTGAAGAAAGCTTTTTTCCTCTTTTTACAAGGAAGCATACATTACTAGGAAGCATACATTATTTTCATTATCAAGTAGTTACTCACATACACACACAGTGAAAGATTAGCATGTTAACATTTTTTAAAGAATGTGTTACAGTAATTTATGTCTATATCAGAAGGTTTTGATCTGAAAAATATCGTAATATCTTAATACTTTAAAGATATTCTGTATTCAGACACTTGCACTGAATTTGTGTTCATCTCCATTTCCAAGGCTAACAGTTTTCTCCTGTTTAAACTGTTATTTTGAAAGACTGTGCATGAGATGTTAAGATGAGGACTGCATTGTATAGGTAACAGATAGGTAAATTATTCATATTCATACAGAACACATGAAAGGCAAAAAATATTAGAAATTACTTTAAATTTTTTTAAAGAAACTATACCTTTAGCAACTATAATAACTATTTTAATTTTAAATTCTCATGTGTTAGAATTGTTAGTATCACATGCATTTTTTTAAGCAAAAGCATACTTAAAACTAGTTTAATAGTTTGAAAAAGCATAAAATGTTGTCTTTAGTCATAGCTCTAGTTTTAAATAAACTTTAAAGGGTTTAAAAGCTGAAGTGACTCATCAATAATTAATATACATTCTCAGAACGTTACTTTACCACTAGTGTAGAACCTGCCAGTATTGTAACACTATGAGCAAGAGGACTACATTCACTGGAAAGTACTAACAACTTAACAAAATGTAGAACTTTCCCAATTCAAACAGATTTTATTAAGTACAGTGCAGACATACATGTGTAATGGAAAATCCCAAAACAGGAGTCCAGGAAAAGAATGTAATAGTTTGGTTGTGCATGCTGCTTGAAAGCAAATGCAGTTGGGCTTTATCATATCTTGCCAAGCACAGTAAGTAGCACTACTAATGTAGATTTGCTAAAAATGATGAAAGGCAAGAAATAATAATATTAGCAAAACAATTTAGTAGTATTTTTTTGTCTTCCTCTAACACATTTTCTCCTAATGCAAATAATATTTTGGTGAAAAACATAGTAAAAATAATCTTTGGTAAAACACAGCTCTTAATGGTGAATTTTGGACAGTGAACAGTTTTAAAAGTCTGCCCTACACAGATAAATTGTACTTTGAAAAAAATGTGTATTTTAACAATAACAAGAAGAGACTGAAAGGCCATTTCCAACATTATGCTAGAAAATAGCGCTGACATTTTTGTTTAAGGTTATTTTCTATAAAAAACAAACAACAAACAAAACCAACTATTTTAAAACTTCACAGTTGTTAAAGGTGAAGAGGTGGTTTGTATAAAGATTGCTAACAACTTTCAAAATTTCAGAAGTTACTTCAGTTTTTCAGACATGACTATTCATTGGAGCACTTTAATTTCTGCTTAAACGTGAACCTCATTCTCTTACCTGGCTGCTAAATCACTATGTTTCCCTTTGAGAGTGCAGGGTTTTAGTGTATCTTAGTGTTCCCCAGTTACCAATTATTTGTTAAAACAATGAAACCTTTGCTTACGAAGTAAGGTAGGACTCCTTAAATGACAAAGCCTAATCTGAGGTACACATAGTACTGAATTCCATAAAATGTGCCTCATTGCATCATTTACTGCAATCCAGTGCATGACAGAATTAAGAAAATAAAACCTTTTACCTAACACTAAATAGTACAATGACACAATTAACCCTGGAATAGGTTAGCCCACTTCCATCATTTATCACCCAGGGAATACCATCATTTAATGAAAAGTGGCTGATATCGAATAAGCCAAACTGATGAAGAGGAGCAAAAAGCGTTCAGGGAGATTTGTCATGTTTAGGGAGATACAGCTGTGGGATTAGGAGAGATGGATGAAAGATGTGTCCTTCCACACAGGTACTAAACCAGTCTTCAAGATTTCCTGGAATGAAGCAATGTTTCCTGGTATGATGCAGCTTTTCCTGGTCTAAAATCGCAGTTAAACTAATCGCAGATGAATCCCTGCTTAAACCATTTCTCTTTATTGTCAGCATTTCTACAGTTAGCTTTCAGAAAGTACTGTAGCCAGAAGACCTAGACGCTGTTTGAAGAAGAAAAAAGGTAAGTCTATATTCTTTATAAAAAGCTAAAGAGAGCCTAAAGCCTCTCAATCTATACGCTACGTGAAAAAATGTAACATCTACTCAAACTAATTCCCATAGCTAATCCATAGGAAAAAAGAAAGTTGTAGTTGACCTCCTACTAAATATTTTCTGTACAGTTGGTGACCTTATAACCTTATATTTTGCCTGATTACTGAAGGCACATTTATCCCTTGAAAACAGACTAGCAAGTATATTACAATGTGCACAGTCTATATTTATACTTCTTACTACAGCATACTGTTTACAGCCACATAATGGCTGCATACAAACATAATTGTCTCCACACAATAATGCACACTATTGCTGCTGCTTTGAATTGGAAGCCAAGACAAAATAAAAAGTAATCCTGTCCCCGGATAAGGCTCTCTGTTTTGATGTCGGGCTACAGAAATGTCAAGTTTTTTTCTGGCCAGCTTGTTACCTCAAAAATGCTTCTGCAGCAACTTTAGGCACATTTTTAGAGAAAAAGAATGCAACAGAACTAACCAGCTCACAGCATAAATAACATGATTCATCCCATTCAAACAGGGAAATTAATGAGGTCCTTTTTTTTCCAGTAAAAGCTTTTTCTGGCTTTTACAGATGATACCTCTGTGTCTCAGCTAACATCTTTCAGGTACTGTGTGACTAGGAAAGATACGCTGCTCACAGACAGAGGTAAGAAAATGTCATGCACCTCACAGATAAATTCTCAAATTAAATTTTAATGTGAGGGTGAACCATAGCACTCTGTGAAGACTGGAATTTCACTACTCCAAGGTCAGTTGCTGCTGCTTGTACCATCACTATATTCAAGCTGAAATCCTCAATTTTGCAAAAGCCTGAATCCACTTTAGGTGCAGCAATTTTCCAGAAGGTAGTGACAGGAGAGTAACTACCCTACCTGTTCCTGATTGAATTAACTGAGGTTTTAACATATACCAGTAGATATCCAATTACACGAGTTTAAAATGTCAAGAATTAATTTTCCTGAACAGGTCAGGCTGGCTGCAAGCAAACAAGGATTTTTGCCACCTTTGTAGCTCTCAGAACAGAGCCAGTATCTTATGGATCAAGTTCATTAGCCAAAGTAACATTGGTAATCGCTGAGATCCAACATAATTGCCCAGCTAAAGGCCAACCTGAACAAATGAGAGATCACATAGGAGGCCTTAGGACCTTGAATTAGCAGGAGACAGCCCGATGCAGAACACGACTTGGGGAGACCACAGGATTCTTATCTAGCCTTTCCCAGTCATGTGTGAGAGAGAGATTGGTACAAATATTAAGTTGCAAACTGACATGCTGAACTCCACTTCCAAATTTGTCACATTTGTGTTCAGATCAATGTATTTCTCCAAATAGGCTTATCTGGCATGCTAGCGCTTCGGTTTGTGCAGTACAAGAGGAAAAGAAATCAGTTTCTTCATTTCAAATGTTCAAATGGACTAGTAGGTTTTGCAGGTACTTTATATTTATTATAATCAAGTATTTTTGTACACAAGATTCCCATTCTTGATTCAAAGACAACTATATTTAGAACTGCGCCTGAAAATAAGAAAAGCCTCATTACTTGATACTCATGTAGTTTGGGGATAAAATTTGTTTTTGCATTGCATTCTAATATGTGGAAACTTTAGTATACTGATTATGAGGAAGACAACTAACAGCATGCTGATTACGTGCAAGTTGGGATAAGCAAGTTTCATTTTAATATCATTGAAATGGTATTTTTACTTGGTTGTTTCCCTCATACACTATGTTTATCAACTACAGTGCTACAGACCAGAGAAAAAATTCCAGTCATGATGCCCAATTCAAAAAACTGGACATGATGTCCGATACAAAATGTATAAGAAACCACAAACCTTTAAAACATTTTTGTTGTAGTACGTATTATATAGTACTAAACACGTGTTGTATAGTGCATCCAAGAAATTTTCATGTCAGTTCCCATACTTCGGATTCATGACTCTTATGTGTAGGCTACATAGCATGCAGATCACTACAGAAGACAATAACAAAAAGTATCTATGTCCTCAATCTTTTGTTAAATACTAAAATCAAACAAAACAGTCTTTAGCACACATATTTGGACAACTAATAGGTTTTTCTGAAGACTGACAGAATAAGAATTTACAGTACTAGTAACTTTTCCTTAATTAAAAGGATGACCTATGTTTGCATAAGTATATTAGTACCTTCACTATTTTAAACAGGTCTGGTTTGCTTATACAAGAGCATGATAGATAAAAAAAACCAAACCACAGCAGTTTCCAAGGAAGTTTTTGTAACCTTCATTTCTTTATCCAAAATATAAAGAACATCTTCCTAGTAAGGGAATCAATTTGGAAAGGTCTAAAGAAAACAGGATTACCACCACTATTGAAAAATGTGAGTGTTGCCTTAGAACAGGAAGTTAACAATAATATAGAAACCATGAGTTTGTCAATGTAAACAACACACACTGCTGTTCTTAAGTACAAACACCCCTACTGGATCACATTCTCTGAAAGAATTCAAAGTCGGTTTCTTAAATTCTTGTTCTGTTGAAAGTGTAGACATGTAAATGGTGTTATCATCATCATCATCATCTCCTCCCCACTAACATTTCCTATTGGGCACTAATAAAAGAAGGTTTCCATAAAAAAAAAAAAACCAAACCATAAAACAAAACCCAAGAAGATAATCCCTGCATTGGCCACAAACGAGTAGAGCAAGGAGAAGAATCTCAGTAAGGGGAAGGACTGTGTAGCACTTAGCGGCTACTTATTTTGAGATATGTATACTCAACAAAGAATATTCCCTAAATTTAGTTTCCATTCACTCCCCTATCTACTACAAAAGCTACCTGGCTACTGAAGAGTTTTGACAGTTTTATGCAAACAGAGTAAAATAAATTACTCATTGTCTATTGACTATAGGAAGTAGCAAGACTTCTCACATGGACTCAGTTTGAAAAGTATTGTAGCAAGACATTCAAAGACTACACTTTCTTTTCCATTTTCATTCTACAAATGATAGATGCATCAAAAAAGCCAACACCGGACTGATCCAAACTGAAAAGCATAAATCTTTTGTAAGACATCTTGATTCTCTTTTTAGTTTCATATTCTTCTGTTGAGTGTTCAAAGTTAAAAGTCCTATAGCAACAACCATGACCATCTTTGCAAGATGACGTTCTCCATCCCATAACCCAAATATCAGTACAAAGTAGAAAAACATCTGCTGTTTCAGGATGCAAAAAGATCAACTATTAGCCAAATACAACACATGAAATTTTTGAGGCAGCAACAACAGTGTAATAATTAACTTCTACAGCACAAGGCTGAGTGATTCTTTCTATCCTTCTTGGACACTAGAAAGAAATAGAAGCTTTGCTTTCTGTTTTAAGGCTCAATACATCATTATCAGATATAAATTTGGTCAATGCTGTAAGTAAACAATTAAGTTGACATCCATGCTGCTAAGTTTATGAAGAATGTTTCTCTGAGGAAATAAAAATCAGTGTAACATCTGAATACAGGAGAACTTACTTCGAATTTGTCTCTTAATTTCCTTCGAAGAATCTAGCCAGTTCTGAAAAAGAGAGAAAAAGAAAAAGTGACGACCAGCATTTGAAATAATTTCAGATTGAAGGTGGTGAAGTAATTTCATAAAACACAGTTAAAGTGTGTATTGTTCAGACATCTGTTCTACTTTAAAATAACCAAGAGAATTCTCAAATTGAACTTGTGATTTGCTAGCAAGTCTCCCCACCCATGCACATAATTGAAACTGTTTAATGCCACTGCCTTCATAGCTGTCTTATTGCTTTAGTCTATTTATGCTCTGTAATTTTGAAAAGTGGATAAGTCTTACAGTGGATGTGGTCTAGCAAATTACATTTGACAAATGCAATTTACTTTCACACTCCTTTTATTATTGACGTAAGCAAACTTTTCAGGAATGGCTGTGTAATCTTTACATGTCTGCTTACACATTCATAGAGAGTTACTTAAGACAGTATTTCTCTTGAACGCCAGAGACTTTACTCCCATTGTTTGTCTTAATGCATATACATTTCAGTTCTGATAACATTCAAAGGTGCTTGGAAAAAACTAATAAAATGCCATGCTTTTTTTCTGACCTCTCCCAGAGCAAAGTTCTCTATGAACATGTATTATGTTAACACTGATACATCGGCAAGGTTCAAATCTGGATACTCGGCTCTATTTTAGGGAATGTAAATAAAGTCACTTTTTCATAGTTAGATGCCTCACAATTAAATGTGTTCTATCCTCAATGCCAAAAATATTTTTATATAATATATGCAACCTATTAAATAGCTCATAGCATCTCAGTTACTACTGATATGTGCAAAGAGACCTTTTTGTGACTGAACATCCAAAAATACGACTTTGGGAAGTGAGACTAAGAAATCAGTAACATATATTCATCAATAACTCAATCTTGTTTACTAATTTTACTCAAAGATGTTGGAAAATAGATTGAGAGACTAGAAACTTAAGCCTTTTAACCGTAGTTACCAAGAATTTACTTTATTCAGTGTTTAAACATTTATTTCTCATGGCCAGATACACATACACGAGCACATACATGGAACAAACACACATACAACCAGCCTACCAGCAGGATTTGAAGCATTTTAAAGACAGAGGTGTGCAAACTAAGGAAGAAGTAGCAACTAACTTGTAAGGTCAAGGCCAACATTTGCATTACCATAAACTACTGTGCATATTAGCAGCTTTAAGAGGGGGCCACAGATGTTGTTAAAGGCATACCTTTACCTATCTTTCTTGCCCAACCTAGCCAAGTAGTGGATATTGGGTATAATATGACTCACCTTTCAGTCTATGGTACCAAACTCTAGATGCAACAATTGTTTTCCAATACCATGTCCCTCAATCTTCACTACTTTTGGCTTTTCTACCCAAAGTCACAAAACATGCGAGGTTGCAGTTTTATGGGTCTGTATGGATTAGTTCCACATTCTCCTATGTTTTTGCACTAGTGCAAGTCCTTAATGTAGATCACCTCTGCTGATAAAGGATGTTGCTTCTACGAATATGACCCAAAATAAAAAGATTGCTCTTGTAAATGGTCTAAGTTGATTTAATCACAAATGCAGCATGTATATATTAGACAAATACTGCAAGAAACCCTTTTTCTAATTTTCACAGATGTAATTAAAAAAAATAATTTCACATTTCTTTCACATTCTTCACATTTAAGTCTGCAACCTCTATGTTCCACAGATATTTTAATTCTTCAAGAGATGCACAGTCCATAATGTCTTTACAAAGGAAGATATATAAAGCACTCAAAAAGATCTGGATACTATTTATTCTGCTTAAGTCAGAAAGTGCTATCTGTTGGAAGAGCTGTGACAAGGAACGTCTTGGAAAACAACAGAAGTCTTCAAGTAATTTTAGCTGAGACTCATTTCAGCTACAGTTACCATCCTAGGTCTTCAGTTTTGGTATGAATTCCATTTCAAAATGATACACAGCCATATTCTTCCAATTACAGAGAACCAGAAGTAGCATAAACTCTTAAATTTTAGATAAATTACAGTATTAACTAAATAATGTAAAAAAGTATAGAACATAGCATGGAATAACTACAGCAGAAAATTAGGATTTGTGACTATATATTACTTTCAGTACTTTATCTTTTATCATTATAAAGTGGGAGAAAAAGAACATACAATACAAAATATGCTCCAAGAAGAATAATCCTCTCTTTACAGAAGTTATACTGTTCATTTTCTGATTTTCCAAACCTGGAGTAAGCTTATTGGAAACAGACTTTGCCCTCAAATTTCATTACTGTTCTGTCAAATAAAATCAGATGGTTATATCCTATTTATATGCATAATTACAAGGGTGGAGTTTTTTGCATATGTGCCTTTTGTTATAGATAAAACAAGCACTATTGAAAGAATCTACCCTGAAATAGACCTTTTAATGCAGAATAGACAGGTCTGTCTTTTAAAACAAAAGAGGAAGTGTGTACATGCTGATTTGCTCCAGTAGGCAGAAATCTATTTGTTTCATTTGTGAATGATAAGGTTATAGATGAGACAAAGTAATGAATTGTCAAAGAACAACAAAATATTCTCGACCAGTACAAAAGTATTTTGTACAAATCCAGAAAAGCAGCATTTCCAGCTGGTGCCCAGAACATAAGAGCAGAAGCTTTCTAACACTCCTGCGGACCAATTACAGCGTGAATGGAGCATTCATGAACTTTTGAGGGGGTAATGCACTGAATTCACTAAACTCTAGACCAATAAATTCAACATTTGCAAAACCACAAAAGAAATCATTAATGAGTAATTTGACCTAAGTAGTTTAAAAATGTGTCTTAAAGCTAACAAATATCAGTCTGATTTGGAGACATAACATCTCTCCCAGCTGCACAGAACACCCATAGTAAAAAGTTAATGGGACTCCTCCTCCAATGGTACCCCGACGGTGCATTAGGGAGCAGCTCTAATTCAACAGAGTGCCTGGCATTCAGTTTCCACACCCCACAGCTGCCATCGACTTCAACAGCTGGCTCATAAATGGGTGGCTGTGATGACTACACAAGAATGGGAAAAACACATCATTCAGCAGTTAGTACTGACTGGCCTGGAGGTCAGAGATTTGTGGCATTTTAAAATGAAGAGGCAACAGTCATAACATGAGGAAAAAACCAAATGCATCAGAAAGAACTGGTACTGAGATGGAGAAAGAATTTAAACTCACTACAGAGGTGAACGAAAGAGAAGGGCCTAAAATCAGTGAAAGCTCTGAGTCCCCAAGCTTTCTTTGGCAGCTATTGCTGAACACAACTAATCAGCCCTCCATACACCTCTACAAATTAAGTAAAAACATTTTTCCCTTTTTTTAAAAGAATGAGAAAAAGCTGAGACACTTAAATTCCTAAACCAGAAGCACAGGGTTCGTTAAAAATGTACCACAAACTTAACATTCTGAAAATAATTTAAACTGTCATCATCCATGTATTAAAAAAATCCCTTTAATAACAAAAATGAGTCCTTCAGTCTTATTGAGCACATTCTGTGCAGCTATACCATTTCAAACTTATCATGAAAGAAATGGCAGCTGGGAAAGGGGAAGTGTCTCAGCACACAACCAGTAATTTTGTTGTATTAAGACACTGCAGTAGCTACACCTCACATTATCAGTTTATACCAGTGTAAGAACTTCCAAACATGGTGGTGTAAAAAAAACCCAAACCAGTAGCTTTAAGTTAGGTAACTTGAGTGACAATAGCAGTAACAATAAAACACACCTATACAACTGTGCAGATGTTACAGTACTGACTGTCCAACCCATAAAAAGCCTGTAAGCACTTGGCCAAGTGACTTGTTCATGCCAAAGCCCATACTCTCAAATTCTTTTTGGAAAACCTGGGTATCCCCACTCATCTGGCAATCACAACTTAGAGCTGCTCCAGAGGCATAGTACCATCCATATAATGGACTTTGGGTACAATCTAGGGCATAGGGGCTATCTAGAGCCAGGAAATAGCTAAAATAACCCCCTCCTTTACTGTTACTTACTGGCATTTAAAATCTCGTAGTCCCTGCCATAAACTAAGCTTAAAGCCGCAAAAAAAGTAGGAGATGGGGAAGGTGGGAAATACACAGATACACATATGAAAAAACAGATCGGCTCTTTTTAAGGTGTGGTGCTCTGCTTCTCAATTAACATGAATGCGAAATACCAAGAATTCTGTCAGTCCAATTGGAAGTACATTAGAATAAATAAATACAAAAAGATAAAGAAGAGACATACACTGCACCAATCTAGACTTCCAACTTTACAAATGCCAAAATTTTCTTTAAGCTTAAAATTAATCCAAAAAGAGCTCCAAAGCCCAACAGTTAGAGACTTAAGGACAAGATTTACTTCATGTTCCTCTTCAAAGCATTATTAAGTGCATATGAGAAAAGGCAGTTCAATTACTGCAAAGTCAGGCAAAAGATTATTTTTTGTATTATTTATCAACCGATGATTGATTTGTTTGTCTTTAAAAACATAAAAAAATTTAAGCGTTTGGAACTTTGGGGAGTTGTCAGATGTTTAAGGGAAAGACATTAGTTAAAATTTCCCGTCTTCACTTGCAGGGATGGCATGCTGTTTTACTATAAAAGACAGCAATTACTCAATTAGTTTTCTCAAAAATGTGGGCATTTTAAATATTCCCCCACTCTAAATAATAAATGAGCACTTTGAGGTATCTGAGCATACACACATTGCAAGTTTACAGCAGACAAAACCTGACACTTTGCAATGGTTTACTCAGATGTTAATAACTGCATATTCTATACCATTAGAAATATAACATATTTAATACAATATAGGTCACTAAACTATTGAAGTCAGTAGTAATATAAAAAGATTCTTCATACAGGCTTACCTTCTGTTCTGAATTCTCATAAAACAACAATCCAAAATAGTCCTTTTCCAGTAAATTGAGATGTTCACACACTTTGTCAAACAGCACTTGGCCTTTTGCTCTTTTCTGGGAAAAAGAAAAAAAGTATTATCAGTAAATCCTTAATTACAGATACTGTAATTAGTATTAGTCAGGAAGATTTCAAATATCAGTAAAAGAGATTATAAAGCTGTAGCTTTCTTACAATACACTGTTCACTGTATTTTGAAAGCTGCACATATCACTGACAAAAATAAAGGCATTTCATTTATTTTTTCAGTTCATCAATAAAGTCAACTTGAATTTACAAGGAAAATTCAGTACCTAAATTGATTTAAATATTTTGCATACTGTCACTAAATAGCTCCGTTTTTCTGGATCTTTATTTTTAAAGTCATAGAAGACTCCTTCACATGAGCAAACCTTTTCTATATTAGCTTCTAAAAATTAATATACTTCCTCCAGTGTTACTTCCTGTTAAGTTCTGCCTTTCTAGCATTTTGGCATACATCTCAATGACATTTATGAATCATGGGATATGAAGACCCAGGAAAAATAAAGTGCATTATCTTCAAGAGACAAAAAGAACAAGCAGACCACTAAAAGTCAGTGATCAGAGCAGTAAAAGAAGCATACAATGTCTAGCTGTCTGTACTGCAGAGGTTTTGAGGGGCAGGAAAAAAAAGAGGAGGGCTGCCTTCAGTCTGTAGATTTATGAACTCTATCGGTACGCAACAAATCCATTGAATGGTCAAAAATTATACAAATAAAGTGAAAGAAGTTTGTTCTTCCTAAAACTAATATTTATGGAAGTAACAATAACAAAAACACCAAAACAAAAACCAAACAACAAACAAACAAGAAGACCACAATTTTATTAGAGGTTAATTTCCATATGGTAGTCTGCTATTTTACAGTAGTAATCAAAGATGTTTCTTGCTGTAGCTCAATATTAGTACAGCTTAAGCAAATGACAATTAGTCCTGAAGTTTTATCTGTTCTTCTTGTACCTGTAACTGAACATAAACAAGAGTATCTTGTATCTTCCTATTACTGATAATGAAAAGCAGACTCAGGCCCTACTTCTGTGCAATAGGTTTTAGGGAAAAGATTTATGGTACTGGAGATGGCAGCTAATGGGAGAAAGTTTTAGAGCAGACAGTTCATAACACACATGCAGTGGTGAGGAAGATGAGACTTTCTTTCCACAGTTAAAATCTGAATATGAACGGCATGCAGTCTCCCAGTCTGAACCAACTCCTTCATGACTGCTCTGCTATTTGTGGCATTTATCAATGAGGCCACAACATGGCATTTTCAGAGCCCTGGCAGCTTAAAGGAATTTTTGCATTTGCTTATCCTACAGATTTCAGTAGATGCCATACACCACTGCAATTCCACAGAAAAGCCATCAACGGTCCCAGTGTAGGCCCTGGCGACACTGCAGCCTTTGTCCCCCGCAGACAGTGGCAGAGCCTTCGCAATATGCCCCAGCTCTGCGCTTGCCCGCCGCTCAGCTCCACCACACAAAACATTAAGGCCAGGAGGAAAGGGAGGGGGGTGAAAAGAAGGTATGCACTGAGCAAATAGCGAAGGCATTGTTGTTTTATTCCCCAAGAATCCAAAGCTTTATTTATTCAAGACTGCATTGTCCTGAAGTTCAGAAAATTTTCAAAGAAACACTTATAAAATGAGCACATTTAGCAGCCTAAGCACCACAGTGAGGCAGTGCAACTTACAAGTCCGTCACTTTTGAAATAGGGAGCTGGGAATCTTAACTTAGATACTTTCAAAAAAGTTACTCTTCTGAAAGACAGATGACTGTTTCCCTTCAGAGTCTGAGATAACCACTTAGTTTTCTACACAGCCCCACTTTCAGATTAATAAAAGTCAGTAATTTAGAAAAGACCTAAACTGAAAACTGGAAAAGTATAAGCAAGAGAAGATTTGAAGATCCTTATCCTGCTTAGATGCATCTATAATAGACAGAATTTTTCTCCCTAAATCATTGTGCACATCAGTGTTCACACCTTGCAAAGGCAAGTTCCAGGTATACACATCTCAGTAAGGGAAATCGGCAGATTAGTGCAGAAATAATAAATGCTATCATTAAGTCCATATCTAGAGTCAGTTGCTAATTACGTAGCTTCTCAAAGTTCAAAAGCTGAAAACCACGGTTAATATTAAGTCTTTGAAAGACCAAGACATAAAGCAGCCAAATTGACAGGAAACACATTGCAAGTATAACAATGAAATATTGCCCAGTTTCTTCTTAGGAAGTCATAGCCAATACAGAATTTGGATGCACTGGCAATGCCCACTGTATCTTTAAAGATCTTTTCGTATGTTTATAGTGGTGTTTTTACTTTTGTGGAACAACTATGCCATGAAGGTCAAGTTATATTAGTCTACATTCTAGAGAGCAGCACAATACAAAGAAGTTATAGCATCAGAAAGTGACATTTAAAGGGCTCTGTTGTGGATTCAAAATCATAAGAAGCCTCTCAGTATGGCAATGGCTTTCGTCATAAAATTCTATTTGTAGAATTCAAATATTCCTAGTTCTTTAATGTTCTTAATGTATTGTGATATAGTTTTAAAAATCTGAAAGAAGTATTTATTTAACAAAACCAAAATTTTCAAGTGCAATTTCTTTGTAATCTCTGTGAGGACAGGCATTACTACACAGTTTAAGTTACAGGAATTTTGCTGGAAAAACCAGTATTCGTAAGAGAGTGCTCCTGAAAAAGAACTGAAGTTATGTAGAGAAGACAACTGTTGTGATCCAGTCATTTCAGAAGTTAGAAACTGTGTAATAGAATAGCAGGGAACTCTAACAAGGCAGAATCATGATTTGCGCAGTTACTCTTTAACCTGGATTCTACTTCATTTTCTACCAGCTGGTTGAGGTGTCCAGTGATAGTTAGAACCAATATGTAAAATGATAATTGTTAAGCTTAAATATTTATGTATAGCTATGCATTTATGTACAGGTACACGTACACATACACATATATATGTGTATACAGCACAGCAAACAAGGGTATCTCCATTCTGAAATGGCAGTAAAAGCATTAGGCCATAGTCAGTCCCCACAAGAAGATGAGCATATCCAGCCCAGCTATACAAAGAGGCTGAGAAGGAGTGAGGACAGGCTCACAGAGCCAGTACTTTAAAACATGACAGTTTTACTCAGAACAGCAGGATTTGATACTGCCCCCAAATTATGCTTTTCTTTAAGTGAGGGCATAGAAAGAATGTATGTAACCAAAGTTATCCCGGTTATTTGCCTCCTTTCATCTGTGGGAAGATATTCATATCTTATCTAAAACCCTGGCAAGACTCTTTCCTTCAGGATTTAGTATTCTGAGTACTGAAAGAGTAAAGAAGGTATATTTCTGTCATTTTGTATGTTGGTGCCAGAATTGTTATGTACATTTAGACTGTGTAAATAACAGCATTTATACGATATACATTCATTTGATTGCGGTGATGCGAAAGGTGAAATCAAGTGTTTTAGTTCCCTTTGCATGAACTACACAGAGATGTAGAAAGCATCTTTTGGCTTTGAGAGTAATTCACACAAACATTACTTTCAGCAGTGTCTGTTGAATCCAGACCAGTATTTTAAAAATCTGTCAAATTTAATTTCAAAAAATAGAAATGACAGGATATAATACTTGAAACAGACCATTTAGGTTTAGTCAGACAGTAGTCTACACATCTGAGCAGTCAGAAATAAAGATTTGCAAACCAAAACTCAACTACAATTATACATCTGCACGTATCACCTTCATTCAGACTTTCTTAATTCAGTGTTAAAACTGATCTTATTTTTACTTTGTATTAGCAAACTTCAAGTAACCACAGAACCTCTGTCAACTCCAATATATTTCAATTGTTAACATGTGCATAAAATACAGCCAATGCTGGCATCCTTTAAATGCCTTCTGCTATAAATACTTAATTAGACCACAGACTGAATGCAGTAAGCAAGCCCAACAGGATCTTCATTTGCTTCTAACGAGTAATCATTATGCTGTTAGCATTTTCTGTTTGTTTAAATTGTGTTATCCTCTACTAAAGCCCAGATGATATTTAAAGCAGAGAATCTGAACAAGTCTTTATCACATACTCAAAATTTAATGACAAATTTTCCTCCTAACTACCTAAGAAACCACAGAACAAGAGGGAAAAAAAAAAGTAAGTTGATTCCCCCCATGAAATAAAAAGCAAGAGGCATATGTAGATCACCCTAAAGATTAATGACTTACACCTGCTCCCACAGGTATCAATTATGAGGAAAGGAATAGGTCAAAATGATGTCATTTGCACAGTGCTAAAAAAATTTAAACCTTGCTTCTCAAAATTAAATCTCAAACTTTGCAACAGTCTGTTCACTTAAGATAGTAAAATTCAACTGCCATTCCGTCTCACAAATATTATGCTACTGAATCATGAACTTAAGTTACTTTATCCTTTAATATGGTTCTGGCATTTCAATTAAGCACAAATTCAGTTGTTAACAATTTTTGGCAAATACCACTCAACATCTTTCATGCTCACCTACTTTGACAAGTCTCTCTGATACACTTACATGTTGTTATCCTTGTAAGTGAACTGAACTCTCTTTGAAGAAAATAATAAAAGGTAACTGAAAGTTCACAGCTTGTAAAAGGTTGTCATGCTTCTCCAGAACTACTCAAACAACAGTTTCTTCCTCTTTCCTCCCTCTTACAATAGTTTTTAAGGTTAAAAGAAATTAATTTAATTAATTGTTCATGTTATCTATGTATGCACATATTGTGCACACAGAACTCAAATTCTTTAGGCTTCCATACTGTATCATTTCATTATATCTTTCAGAAGTCTCCTAGAGATTAAGAGCTTTGACATTTTTTCTTAAAAGCTACAGAATGCATAAAATCAATGTATTTCGTAAATATGGAGCCTGTGGACTTGAACTTTAAACATTTTAGACTAGAAGTTAAAAAGCTTAAATATAACATTTAAATGGAGGTTATTTTGCTTTCTTATGAAAGCTTCTGGGTTCTCAATAGCCAAAATAAAGCAAGTTTGAAGAGTGC